AAGGAGCTGCATTCATAGCCATCACTGAGCTTAAAGGCTTGTTGTTTCCATAAGCTGCTGCTTATTCCAATAGTAAATAGTTCATACAGGTGTTCTGTGCTATTCACATTCCCTGAACAGAGAGAGACATGATTCTCTCTTGCAGGAGTTTTCCTGGGAAGTTGTGAGACACAGTGAGAAAGCTCAGAGAAAGAAGACAACAATTCTCATCTCTATTTGCTGCGCCTGTTGTTTGGCACATGTGGAATGTATTATGGAGACTGTTTACTGAAAAGTGATTTGTTAATTGGAGACTGGTGATAGTTATTTGGATTGATTGCCAATTGAGTCAAAGTTGTGTCATGACTGTCTGGAGACAGTCACAGGTTTTTCTTTAGTATCTTTTTAGTATAAGATAGTTCCAGTGTAGTATAGTATTAATGCAATATAATTTAGCTAAATAAAGCAATTTATTCGGTCTTCTGCAACATGAAGTCAGAGTGTGTTATTCCCTGCCCGGGGGGGGGTCACACTGCTTTGATAGTGCGCAGTGCTGTTTAAACATCTTGGTACCTCCTCAAGCAGTCTGATTGCTGTTAGGAATCTGTCTGCACTGTTGTGTTTTGAATTAGTTTTTTGAACTATCACATTTCAAACTTTGGAACGATGCTTTTGAACTGATGTTGTTTTCCTTCATAAGCTTCTGCCTCAGCTGAAGGTAGTGAGATCAACAGGCAGCAGTATGTGTTCCAAGGAGCAAATTGACTCTTCATTAGCAAGCAGAACATACACTACAGTTGAGAAAGACTAACTCTTAGCATTTTGAATCTTCCCTAGCTACCAGATAAGAGATCTGTTTTTAGCTGCCTCATCCAAAAGTTCCAAGAACAGAAGTTTTTAATACAGGCCAGGTAATGATTATTGTAGGTCCTGTCTAACTTGGGATATTCTATGAACCCCTGTGACAAACACAGAAGAGTTTGCAGTGTATCTAAATTATACATTTAGTCATAATTTTTTTTTTGCTGGCTGATATTGATGATGAAAGGGTGAAGCTGAGTCTCCTGTGACAGCTAGATTTCTTTGAGGCATCAGGTAGGAGAATTACTTCAGGTGTCTCTTGCATGAGACTGAGCACAGTAGCATGGCTAATAACATTGCCATAACTCTCTAAGGGGCCGTGCTGTGCTGTTGAAAGTCACCAACCAGAACAGTCTGATCTTCTCTCTTACAAATCACAGGAACTCTTCACAGTGAGTTCACAAAATCAGTTGAAAGTATGCTCTAGCTGTGGATGGCTTTCTAGAGATTGGTCAGCTGTGAAGCCTGCACTGTTAATTACCCATCATGAAAAGTGAAATCAGCTTAAGATATTTGCTTAGCACCACCCAGGATCTTTTTGGAAGGTGCTAGAATGCGGTCTGCTTTTCCAGAGGGCACAAAGTTACAGCAACTGTATGTAAATTCTTCCAGTTTCTCTTTATTCACTTTTGCTTTCTAATTCTTAGAAAGGAACAGGAACTCTAAAAATGGAAGCTTTTTTTGTGATCTTTACTCATTCCTACAATGTACTTATCTTATTCCCTGAGAGAGGGCCCTTCAAAGAAAAATAGCCTGCAATCATAACAAAAGCTGCATTTGTTATTGTCCCTATCCTGCTGAAGTAGGTAGATGTTATCTTGAGTGCTTGGTTTATTGCATCTCATTTTGCACAGTGTAAAAGTAGTTTCTAAGGGAGTTGCCAGCCAACCAGAAAAATCTCTTTACAAAAGATCCTGGAGAAGCCAACGGATTTCTATACACTGAAAGTCTGGTTATTTATTTCCTACATGAATAAAACGCGATGAAAGTGAAAATGTTTTAGATAATAACTATATTTTTAAATGGTTGTAAGGTGTAGCCTGATATAAAATATGCTTGCACTACTTCAAAAAAGATGGTGATAGCTGCCCTCAGATGGGAAAGAGCAAGTTTTTAGCTTTGTGCAAATGGTATGGATAATTTTGGCAGCTTCTGTTTCTTTAGTGTTCTTGAACCAAATACAGTTTCCAAGACATGTAGCAGGAAAATATGTTTAATCCACAGAACAAAAATTGCATAAACAAGATGCTCTGACAAATGCTTCCTTTTTCTGTTGTGTACTTTCTTTTTAGTGTGAGCTTCTCAGCAGAGTGTTTGGGACTACAAAATTCCCTCTGTTGTGGAGGAGAGATGATTAAGAAATTACCTACCTTCTATTAAGTGAAATTTGACTAACTAATGAAGGGAAATGAAGCAGAGATATTAAGTCCCTGTAGCCCTACATGCTCCCTTATCATGAAGGATCCTTTTAACCAGTCTTGCCTGTAATGTTTTTAGCTGGTGGATATCTCAAGAGAAAATTTTGTAGTAATCTTGTACAACAGAGTTTCAAGAGTACACCATTCATTGGATAAGATCAATATAGGTTATTCATTGTGAAAATAATAAGAATGAGCTGGAAATACTTATTTGGTACCCATTGGCAGCAGAAAAATAGCCTGTCAGTTTGTGAATAACCATTTCATTTTATCTTAAGTTCCCCAGCACTTGCTTATCCTGAGTTATCACTTGTCAAACCCAGTGGCCATGTGGGTTTTCAGGGAACTCCCTACGGAGGGCCATTGTGCAGGCACAGAATGCTTCCTGTGCTTGTGTCTTGGACTGCCAGGCTTGGTAGCACATTGGGATCCTTCCTTAATGCAGGAGGGGAAAAAAGCCTCAAACATTTTACCAAGGGTTATTGAGTTTTGGTAGGGTAGGATCTTACCAAGGGAAGAGCTGACACTGATTTTGCATTTAGAGTCTTGGCTGCAGTAGCTACTCTAAAACTTCCTGTTGAGATTATCACCAGCTAAAAGTCATCAGAGCCAACACTGACTAAAAGGATACGTGCTGGCTGGAGAGGATATTTGGGTTTTATTTATTTATTTGTTGTGTGTATATTTGTATACACCACATGTATTCCATTCCTTCTCCCCCACCTCAGGGTTATTACCTCCTCCCTGCCTTTATATTTATATATATAAATATATACTTATATTTTTCTCTGGAATATGCAAAGTCTTCCAGAAGTATATTACTAATGCAACTCTTATCTTTCATATGTTGTTTACTCTTTTCTTATCTTCTTCATGTAAGAAGAGATTTTTTTTTTTTTTTGTAGGTTTCATTTTGACACAAGTCCTTTAGAAAACAAATATCCTGTAATGTCTTTCAGGTAGGTTACATCAAAGAAGACACTTTGCATTTAAAAGACAGTAAAGTCTGAAAAACTTCTTAGTTCTTTTCAGATTGAATGCCAGAGATTTAAAGCTGCTCTGGAGAAAGCTCAAAAAAGCAAAAGTTATTTAGTTTTGTAGTAGAATATGCCTTTTCATCTGGTGAGTGTAAATTTTTTAAAAAAAATCGTATTTTAAAATATCAGCTTTTCCTTCTGGCTATTTATGGTGTTCCATATTTCTATCTAGTTATCACTAAATACCCTACAGAATACACTTTTCAGAAAGTTGGGAAGATGTGAATGGTGGTCTGAAAAAAATGAAAAATTACAAGTGAAACATAGAGGACCCTTGCTAGGAAGTTTACAAGTACCTGTAGGAGGCTCAGATCAATCCTTAAGAGAGATTTCTGTCAAGATTCATGTTACATAGATAGCTGAATCCAATCAGTTAATTTGATTTATGCAAAACATTTGTGGAGTTTGAGCCTGTAACTTGACAGAGTTGAGGAAATAAAAAAGAACACTGGAGAACTGATAAGCAGAAACCATATGTTTTATTTTAAGAGTGTTGATTTTTTATCTTGTAAATAAATTTAGATCCAACTGTAAAATTGGCCTGTGGACTGTAATTTTTTTGGCTACAGTATGTGTGAGAAGTCCACAAAAGACAAAATTAAATATATACTGAAGTCATATGCATGCACAGAAAGGGAGGCTACATTTTAATTTATAAAACACTAAGGAGTACCTTGTGCACATTATCAGTATTGTGTAAAGAGGAATAAAGCAAAACTAAAAATTATCTTTTGGTCAACCTGGCCATTAAAATTATGCATCTGTAGTTTTTCTGCTGAAATCAGTAGTTTAGTGGGATTGTTACAAAAAGGAAATATATATTCCTGAATATTATTATATGGTTAGTAGTTTTTTTTAATTGCAAGTGGCTTCTTGTACTACCTATGTGTTTTATTCTAATAAGCAAAGTCATGACTTGCTCTCTGTTAGAAGACTGTAATGACTGCTGCTAACATTTGTCCACTCCCTGCATTTGCAGCTTTGAGGAAACTGGAGCGTCAGTGGGCATTCTCCATAGCCACCAGCATACTCTTGGTTTTCAGTTCCAGGTAACAAGGACATGCCTTCTTTTCTTTCATCTTTGTTTGTAAGACAACTGAAAGTTAATGGAGAATAAGTTTTTCCTGAAAATTTATTTTTGCATTTAGTCCAAAAGAACACCGCTAGCCTTCTGCATCAAACCTAGGATAAGTTTGTTAGCAATACAGGGTAGACCTGGAAGGTAATAATGAAACTTTCCTATACATAATTCATTCAACAGATGTGCATAGTGGAAGATAACAATCTGAAAAAGCTCTTAACTCTAACTTAACCTCCTTTATTACACAGGATATGGGTTTTTGTTCTGCAGCATTTAGCAGAGCATGGGCTCAGAATTAAACATATGTTTAGGTTCCTAGTTCAGTGAAAATCAGTTTCAGTATGTTTTTAGGTATAATGGGAGGTCTAATGAGAGGCAGAATATGGTCAGATCAGTCATATAATTGGGTTATAGCTCAGCACTGTCAGTGGTCATGACAAGTTCAGAGAGGTCTCTTTCACAGAGCTATGAATTACCAACTTGTGCTTTCCATCTCTTTACTACTTTCTTTTAAACTAATGATCTGTGTTGGAGCATTAATGGTATTGTTAGTAAAGTGTAATACAGAGAACTCTTGTCTTTTCAGGAGCTGCATAGATTATAGGGGCCAATAGTGGAGGGCTGATGTGATTTTCTTTTCTTCTATTTCTGAGGAATGGATCCTGGTCTGCTCTCCTGTGGAAACCTCTAGAAGAATGTTCATAAAGGTATAATGCAGCTAAATACCTGGATATTAATTAAGGATTGATATATAAACTCAAGGTAAGTGATATTGCTTTTTAGAATTTCCTTTTCTGTTTGTTTTTTTTTCCCTCACATTCCCTGCATATCTGCTTTCTCCAATTTCATATTTTAGATTTGTATTTTCTTCTCTTTTTGATTGAATTCAGTTTAGGCTTGAGTTTCCTTATTTTTCCTTGTTTCCAAATGTATGTGGGGTTTTGTTTGTTTTTGAAAGAAAATAATGTTAGAAGGTAAACAAAAGGGCATTTTCTTTGCCATCTCCCCTGACTATGTACATGGCTTTGACAAGTAGGAAAGAAAACCTACAGAATGTCCATGGCATGTAAAATGTACCATAGAATGAATCATTTTCAGCAGCCTCGATGCAGTGGGAGATGTTCTGTTGGGAACTGGAACCATCCACCTACTTCTGCTCATTACACTGACACTGCTCTGTTCTCTTTTCTGAACTCTGAGAGTTACTTATCCACCCACATGCTTAATCTACAGGAACCATTCTGAAAGGTTTGTTCCTTACCCTATAATCTTTTATACTTTCTACCCTTTTTGTGTCATCAGCTAATTTAGACTATTTTTAAAATTAAGTAATATATGTTAAACCATATCAATATAGGGTTTTACTTGAAGCCATAAAATTCTAAAAATTCATATTTAAGTAAATAAATATATATATTACAACAGGCATTTTATACATATAATATTGATTATATATAGTTTTCTGTGAGAGATTATAATTAGATTTTTAATTTCATATTTAATATTTCAAGTACTTGAAAATTTGCTTTCTTACTATATTTTTATTATAAAATGATTTAATTAATTTTAGAAAAAAATGGTTAATATTCTTTAATGTTATTTTCTCTAGAATAATTTTTTACATTTGGTAAAAGCAATGAAATGAAGTATTAACAATTTCAGAGCAGAATATTGGATGTGCTTTTGAGAAGCAAAAATGTGAAATCTCCTGCATGTGACATGTTTTGTATTGGCTTTTTGGTGGGTCTCTCTTCTTCTTTTCCCTGTTCTCTCTTCATTTTTAAAGCAACTTTCCACCTAAATAGAATTGCAGCATATAAGATGTTCACATACTCTTACTTGCAGCAAATCTGGTAGTTGAAATTTTCACAGCTGCGGGGAATTACATGTGTTACCCATCTCCCCTGCACTCTGCAGCTGTGCCTGCTCAGGAATTGTGCTTCTGTCCCTGCTTTCCATCTACATAATGCTTCCAGTCCCCGGGGCCAGCTTGTTCTATGTAGAGTTGGTTCATCAAGGCAGGCAGTCCAATGTATTATAAACCAATCCGAATTCCTAATCTCAAAAAAAAACTTAGTAAAGGAAACCTGCCCTAACAGTAAGAGAAGCAAATTATTCCTGAACTTCATGCTGTGATGGTTGTGTTGCTCAAATACCTTATTTAGCAAATAGGGTGCTTCTGCATGTAGCTGGCGATCAGACAGTCCCCAGCAAAAGGTGTGATGGAGGTTATAAAGCCTCTGGCATAATTTAGTGATTGATAATTTGTGTGTATTTTGTGCAAAGGGCCCCTTTGACATTTTCTTTCCCAGGTACCTTGACTGGCGGATGCATTTTACTGAGATGGATGTGGATTTGTTAAATCACTCTTTTACTTTTTCAGCCCTTTCATGTAGTGTACAAGGCTGAGAGAGTAGATTAATACATACTCTGCTTTCTAATTCACTGTTTTTTTCAGAGAGAAAATGTACCTAGATGAGTTTGCCCTTGACATCTAAATAAGAAGTTTGATAACAAAAGCTGTGGACAGCTAAGCACATCTGGAAGATAAGTGCAAAAATGATAAACCTGGTGCTATAACTGCATTCAATCTATCCTACATATGTGCCAAAGTCTTCCCTCTTCCCTTGCTCGTGCTTTCATAATTCATGGCTGTAATTCACCTGGGGGTCGCTGGTGCTCTGTCAACGTTTAATTGCTCTAATTACCTTATTACCTGCTCTGGTGAAGTGGTAAAGCCTTGACATTTCACATTTTCCCTAGGAATATGCATCTGTGGGATATATCAGTCTGTAGTTGTTAAATACAGAGAAAAATAACTCAGTTAATCCAGTTTTTCAGTTGCATAAGTCTACACTGTTACTGATTCCTTACACTGGGCTACCGAGCCCCTTGTTTTCTCAAACTGTAAATCTTTGTGAGAGGTTTCCTCTTTAAAATTAATCTACTTAGTTATGAATTTTTTAGTGAGATGGGAAGGCTAAAAAGGATGTGTCAAGTGATATTTTTGCAGGCTAATCCAATTAAATTAGAAGTCACTTTACACAGGGTTCCATTGAGTGGCAAGGGAGAAGCATGGCCTCATCAAGCAAGAAAGTTACCTTGTTTACAGATATTGATGGTCAGAGATCATAGTGGCAACTGCTGAGTGACACTTCAGGAAAAACTGTAATAGATGATGTGATTGCAAGTTAGACTTTAGAAAAAATGACAAAAAAGCATTTTTTTCTGCAATAAGTGGTTTTTTTCTGTGTTGTGGATTTTCCTTGCAGAAGAAGAAGCTTCAGTCAAGTGAAACTTTTGTGCAGTAAATGTTTCTGTAGTAAAGAAAAATGGAAGAGTTGAGGATCTTAAATGCCATTTGCTGTTAAGAATTATTTCTTTAATGCATCTTTTGTTTTTCTTTAACTTCTCAGAACGTTTTATTTCCCACTCCCAATGTTTGCGTAAATGTTTTTTCATAGCTGGGTGATGCCAGTTGATAAATGGCAGCTACTAAAGAAAAATGCTTTATGAGGTAGCTGTTCCTTCAATTTTTGAAATAAAATTACTCCTGAAAAGCTAGAGAAGGCTTTGTGTTAGCTTTGACTGTAGAAATGAAAAGACAAGCAGAAAATAGTACAATTCTACTAATAGCAGTTAAATAATGCCTGTGCTCTTAGTGTAATGGGACAAGTACTACCAATTTTCTGTTTTCTTTCACTGGATGAAAAGGAAGAGGATAATTTTATTTAATCAGGTGGACTTAGCTGGATGAATGCATGAAGGGAATGGTGTGCAAAAAGCACTGCTTTTTAAGAAGAAGGATCATGTACAAGCTCTGTTCAGCTCCTTGGAGAATTTCAGTAGGTGTAACTACCAGGATTCAAAGGACCAAGTCAATAAACTCCTGAAGACCAATGTCTCTCTCTCCCCTCTCCCCTTTTTACCTCCATATGTAAAGAGGCAGCATGCCTGTTGTAAAAACAATCACACGCTTTTCATCATGTTAGTGCCCTGTGTCATTCAGAGAAAAGTCATTGTTGTACTGATGATGACAATAACAAAGCCACAGGAGCAGGAAGAAAGCTGCTTATTGTGAGGCCTTAGTGTTGGAAGGTCTGCTGATTGTTTGGACAGAGAATTCAAATATCAGGAGAATAGATAATGCCAGAGAAAAGCTGGAAAACATTATATCTATCAGCCTTCATCAATATTGTTGTGATTTAGGCTCAAGGAGCATGTTTCTTCATGTCAATATAATTTTCAAAGTCTCACTAAGCAAGTATGGATAAAGCTCTGGGCTGGGATTGGCAAATGTGCGCCTGAAGCTTATCTAAGGCATTGGGAGATTTGCTGAAAGTCACTTATCATCAGTCTATGCCACATTTTTTTATAAGCTAAGGTCTTATGTATTAATATACTTCTAAAGATAGTATTGACATATGAAATATCTATATTAAGATGTACATATTGCTATTTCCACAATTTTTTACATTTAAACAAGTACCTTAAAAAAAAAAAAAAGCTAATTCTACAGTTATGTTCCTGTTGCAAAGCTGGGATTTGTTGAGAGACACAAAGAGAATAAAGACATACTTCTGGTGTTTTTACTTCTAGACTGGTGAACCTGGAAATGCTTTTAAGTTCCCTGCCAGATCAGGGCAAGTTTTACTGGATGCCAGTCCTCATCTCTGTGCCTTTATTTTTTTGTGGGGAAATTGCTCATGTGCTTCCTTCTCAGCTTTTTCTCCCAAACTGGTTGGGAGAGGGGCTGCTGAAATTTGCTTTCTAGAGGAGACCCCTTTGGGAAGTTCCCTCCCAAATCTATGCCAAGCCATGACACATACATAGTTGGAGTTTGTAGTTTTGTGACACAGTCAAGCCAATGAAACTCTTTGGGGCTTCTGAAGGTGGTGGTCTTACCTTACTGCCCTCCTCCCAGTCTGCAAATACTCAGATTCTTGTCTGATCAAATGTGAAGTCAATTAGTGATGAAGTCAGGAAGTTATGTCAGCACAAAACTGTTCAAGGTCTCTTGCAGTTATTATTTCTTCTGGTTCATCATGTGAAATTGGCTTATCCTTGGAATCCATTTGAAATCCACCAAGAGAAAAAAAAATGCAGGGAAAGGCAGTGAGCTCCATTTCTACATTCATATTTTTGCAAGATCTGTGAAGGAAAATAGAAGAATAATAATGAAGTTATTGAGTACTCTTTCATATTTTTGAAACAACAAAAAGAAAATTTGTACAATTTTGTATTTTTGTGTGTGTTTGTGCTTACTCTTTGAAGTGAAACCCATGTTAGAATATCTTTTTAAATAACCTAGAAGGAAACTGATGAGCAGGATATCTGTCGTTGAGAGTGCAGTAGGCTATGTACAAGCTTTGGAAGGCATTTTCTTCAACTAGCTTTGCTAAGACACTTTTCCTTTGACCTGCCTTAACTCAGTCTTTTCATTTCAGTGTCTGGAAATGGTTTGTAAGAATGCAGAGTTATTGGTTCTTTCTGATGCTATGCTGCTGTGAATTGCATAATACGAACACGTGTATCTGCATCTGATGGAGCAGTAGCATTGATATGAACAGCAGCACTGTGTTCTTTGCATCATTCCCTTCTGCCAGGTGTGGAGGAGGAGGAGACAGTCTGTCACAGGCGGGTTTCTGCAAAAGAAGAGACTGTGAGGAAAAGTGGTAGGGCTTCCTACACAACCTGATTCCTTTTCTTGTGGTGCCGACTCCCACACTGCCTGGTGCGCTCTCATTAGGAGCTGTCTGCTCATTTCCAGTATCTGTCTGATTCCTTAGAGGACCCTATTAAGATGCATGGGTCATGCAAAAGCAAAATTTAGTAACACTCTGAAAACAGGACAAGTGCTGAAGCAAAGGATCCTTCTCACATACGGTGTACCAGGTAAATTCACTCTGTGGCAAACTACTTTTCTTCAAATTATCAGAAACAGTTTTCTCTGATCCCAGCAACACTATATCCCTGAGAGGATCCACAGAAGTCTGTTTTTTTCAAAAAATAAAACGTCCTTGATCCCTACTCATTATCACAGTTTAATAGACTCCATCTTCTCCCTTCCAACAGCTTTAATTTGTGCTTACCTTAAAAATAATTCCCAGAATTTTCTTGCCATATTTTGCCCTCATAAACTAACCAATATAAGATACTACTTGATAACAGGATTACCTTTAGAAAAAATACTAAAAAATATTTTGATTTATAGGGGATGTGTAAATTGTTGCAAATGGGTATAATTTCTTTTCTCTCGTGCTGATTGCAGTAATAATGAATTTCACTGTTGGTTAAAAGTCAATTTTATGCATCTCTATGACACTCTTATTTATAAATTGATATAATTCAATTTAACATTTTGGATAGTCTTGTGAGCTAAGAAATTTTCTTTTTTTTTACCAGTTATGAAATGTTTAGCCTTCACTTGCATGTGTTCAGCAAGGCCAATGCAGCAAATGTGTCAAAGGAAAATCCTGCTTTAAGGTAGCCCTTATATGTGCCTTCTCTCTCTGCCTTTTTCTCTCCCTGCTCTCTTATAAATGCTCTCATATGCAGGTACTGGAAATGGATTCTCTTTTTAAAAAGATGAAGAAGAACATACTGAAGCCCAAAATTAGTAGTATGCTTTTATACCTCTGCTTTTTAATTCCATAATTTAAGATGTTTGAATTAATACTGTGGGATTAACTGGTGGAAGAAAAAAAAAGTAGTGTATTTATAAAATGGGGTTTAAGGAGACACCAAAAAGACTTTAAGCATAGTCTACACTGGCCTTTGCAGTGCTGTCACTTTTGTTGTGCTAGTGAATTTCATAGGAGTGCTGGGTTTTATTATGTATGTAGTTGAGGCTTAGTAGACTAGAAGAAAATAATTTCAATGGTCAGACTCTTTTTGTTATGAGTTTTCCTGTTTTTCCTTGATATGCCTTGTTATTTGTTGGTTATTTTTTTAAAGGACAGTAATTTTGTTGGCAAGATGATTACTTTGGATAAAAACTAATTCCTTTGAGTATGAAAGTAAAGTGTTGGATTTTCATTATAGATACAAACAAATCTAGGAGAAAGCAAATGCTTGGGAATAAAGCCTATGACTTCATATTGCAAATAAAAGATGTGACTTAAACTCTTCTTTCAATGATAGCCCATAACCTGCACTCTGAGCAAATGCTTAGATTTCTGGACTTTTGGGGAAGAAGAACCTCTTCCTTTTGGTCTTATGGATAAACTGACTAATGGCAGTTTTAAAACATAGAGCTGTTGAGCCCACCCTTAGAATCACATAATTCTAGAATAGCTTTGGGATGGAAGGGACCTTTTTAAAATACGTGTGCAGATAGGGAGTTTTTGTAGTGTTTTCATGCAGCTTATGAATTCCCCATGGCAGTGGCTGGGAAGCAGACACTGAGATGTGTGTCCCTCTGGCAAGGTGGCAGTACTTCCAGGAAGAGACACTAGTGGCTCTGATGCTTTACCAGGAAAAGAAGAAGCTTCCAAAGATCTCTTAGACACATTGGATGAAAATTATTTTCTCAGATCAGACAGTCAAACTGTGATTTGGCTTCATTTTTAGGTACTTTGTGTGGTTTTCTTAAGTGCTGATATGTAGTTTTTGTAGCTAGAAATGAGTTCCTGATGAGAAAGCATGAAAAATTGTTAGAAGAAAGTGTTTTTCTGATAGTCTACTTCTGATACTCAATCAGACTAATTAAATAAATTCAACTAATCAGCTTCTGATAATGTTTAGAAGGAACTAATTTGCTTCTCTCCTATTTGTTTTGAAGTTATGTTGTCACCACTGATGACTTGCATTGGTTTCAATTATAGAACTTAATATTTAGCTAAGACCTTGAACATGTGGTGAAGAACTTAATGAATAATTACACTCTTCTACCCAGCTTTTAAATTGATGTGTTTGTTTTGAGAATAATTTCTTTTATTTAGAAAGAAAAACAAAGAAGATTCTTGCTTTTCCTTGATCTTGATGTCTTTTTCTGTCCCATTTTAATAGATCACCTTTGCTATATTTCTTAAACTGATAAAGATCTAAATATGGTATTGAAAGCAAGGAGGTAGGTGTGAGAGGGAATTAAAAGATTATTAGCATACAGCAAATCACTGGAACTGAAGATACTTTGCAACCCTTTCCTTGATTGTCCCTTTGGGAAAGAATCATATCTGTTTACCTAGTCTGTTCTTAGCTCAGACCTCTTAGGATTTAGAGGATATTGAAAACAGCAATGTGTGGAGGCCTGATATATGCTAGAAGGATAAGGATGCCTGTGTTTTGCCATGAGAAGTGGAATTATATCTCAATCCTGTGCACAACAAGCTATTTATCATGCTCAGGAAACAGCAGTAGGTAATAAACCTGAACCCTTTGCAGCTAGGAGACTGTTTATATATCCCAAAAACTTTTTCTTGTGAAGAAAAGATTCTCACCCTCATGTCATGTTGCATTGCAGTTTACTGTGGAGTGCTGCAGAGATTTCTTATTTTAGCTTGTTGCATTTTATCTAAGGGTAACTGTTGTATATTAATTTGTTGCATCAAATTATACAATATGGGTCTGAACTCATAAGTTTCTCTTTCCTTTGGGTTGTTTAAGGTGATTTCACATTTGTTATGAATTTGCTAGTCCTTTTAGGGACAAGACCATCTAGCCTTATTGGGGATCAGCAATTTCTTTTTTAAAGACTTCAAAATAGTCAGCTAAATGGAGTGTGAATGGGGGACAGCGTTGAGGCTTCTGGTCAGTCAGGTATGAGGAAGATACTGGACTCCATTCCGACTCTGAGTGAAGGCATTCGGATTTTTAATACCTGTGAAGAAACTCTGATATAAGGTATGTCTCTCAGACAAAGGTGTTTAGAGGTAATGTTGTTATGGGGATATTTGGGCTCTTGAAGAAGATCCTAGGCTGGGCATGCACTAGTTTAGTCTAGCATGACAGAATTCAAACTTCTGGGGAAGAGGCTCAAATCCAGCTCTGTGTAGGATGCCACATAAGTTCAGGGCTGCTAAAAAAGGCCAGATACTACAAGACCACTTAAAATAATGCTGCCAATATGTTTAAAGGCAAAGTATCCTTCCACTGGAAGGATTGACTCAAAATAAAAAACAACAATAATAATAATTATTAATAATATTAATCCTTGCTAATAATGATGGCATAAAATAATAATAAATAATAAATTCACTTTTTGTACAAAATTGTTTCCATTATCCTATGTCTTTTGTGCTACAAGGGAGCTGGCTTTGTGCATGTAAAGGTTTTAGCTATTTCTAGTAGTAATAGACAATGAATAATAACACAATTATTGCATATTTTTTATTAATAATTTTCATGTGGGTGACTCTAGTTACATGTCAGTTATTAGGATTAAAGTTTACTGTCTCCATCCCCAGAATTGGTTATAGATGTGCTAATAGAGAGACATCTTCTAACAGCTGGTAACTCTATTGGAAGTGAGTAAATGAGTAAAAGAAAGAGTGATGGATCCATTTTTCTCCTAACACTTCTCTTGGCCAACCCAAGAGACAAGAAGACTTAGTAGACACTACAAAATACAATTCTGGCACATAAATAAAATTCTATTTGGTTTTGATTCATCCTTTGTTATTCTCTTCATTACTCTTTTATTCACTGATCTTTTTTATAATAGGGATTTCATCAAAACTCCTAATGTTTTCCTTGAAGATGATTATTTACAGTGTTACATAATGATTTTGTGAACAGTATAAATTTCTGTATCTGTGTGTGGGTATGGTTTTTTGTGATTTTTTTTCTCTCTTTTTTAAAAAACGGTGTGCTCTGCACTCCAGTAACATCATTCTTTTCATACAGCTTAACTTATGACAACTGTAGAAATGATGTTCTAAGAATGAAGGGAAAAGGAAAGCTAGTTGTATTTTGACAAGAATGGACCAACCAATAGCAAAAATAATTTACTTTCTTTTGACATAAGTGTGTCAATTTTTGAAAAGTACTTACTACTGCCAAAGCTAGACTGATATTAAAAGCTTTACATTAACTTGACTTTCAGAGAGAATTGAAGTGAAATTTTATTTTAGGCTTGTCCAAACAGTATTTTCTTTCTATGTCTTATCTTAATGAAAGATTTTACACTATTTTTACAATTGGTTGTAATTTTTTTCATTTGAGAAGTTTTCTGTTCAATCTAAGAAGATGCTTCCCTGCATGAGTGAAATTTTTTTTTCTTTCCTTTTCCATTTCCTTCCTTGTGAAAATGGGAATTTTTCACAAGCAACAAAAAATTATTAAATGCCCCTTTTCATGTCAAAGTTTGATTAATTTGCTGGAATGAGAACATTCCCTTTTAGCTCTGCTTCTGAAATCTAACACTGAAGAAACAGAGACTTCTTAGCTCTTCCAAATTTGGTTCATAAATGCATTGGAAGGTTAAGATGTGTGGTGTTTTTGCCATGTTTTCTGCTTCCACCTAAACTGTTTGGAGAGAGAATGCTGCTGTTGATTCTCTACAGAAAATTTATACAGAAGGATATTTCACTGTCTAAAATCCTTCAGCTGCAAATTTCTCTATATTCCTTCCTGCTGCTTTGAGCTTTAATTTCACATATAATTATAAAGAATGTAAATTAGGTTCATCAGGGGCCAAATTATATTTTATTTACTTGAACTAATGTAAATATATTGATCTTTAAATAGTTAGAAGGCTGAAAAATATTTTTAAATATATCTGCAATGTATGTTTTAACATAGTGTCAGTACATATACATAAGCAATTGTACAATAAATTCAGATGTTAAAATCCAACTAACATTTCTAAGGTTTATTTTATAATGCTGAAGTGTTCTGATTGCTTTTAGAAGATTTAAGTTTGGTCAAGTTCTAAAAGGTAACTCGGCTATTTCTGCCACTTTTCTTCTTCATAAGGTTGCATAGAATTAGATCAAAAAATACAATAATCAGTTTTATCAGAATAGAGAGAAATGTTGGATTTTAGTGAGTGGAATATGCTACTTTACTTTGTCTTTAAACTGTATAAGCTACAGTGAGCAGAAAAGCAGAGGTGGTTGGTGGGAATTTCCTATTGTCAGCACTCAGATTAGGTTTAAAATGATGCTGAAACTGTGGCCTTATCCTTGAATGCTTTTTACTGCTGTCATGCCTTAACCCCAGCCATTCATCAAGCCCTATGCAGCTGCTCACACACTCCCACCAGCAGGATGAGGGAGAGAATCAGAAGGGTAAACTTGTAGGTTGAGATAAAGACAGTTTATTAGGGTGAGCAAAGCCACACACACAAAGCGAAACAAGGAATTAATTCACTACCTCCCATGACCAGGCAGGTGTTCAACCATTTCCAGCAGAGCATGGCTCCATCACGTGTAATGGTGACTTGGGAAGACAAATGCAATCACTCCAAATGTCTCTTCCCTTTGTTCCTTCTTCCCTACTTTGTACACTGAGCATGATCCTGTATGGTCTGGAAGATGCCTCTGGTCAGTTTGGGTGACCTGTCCTGGTTCTGTCTCCTCCCAATCTCTTATGCACTCCCAGTTTCCCTGACAAGGCAGCACAAAGAACAGAGCTTGGCTCTTTGTAAGCCCTGCTCAGAAATAACAAAAATATCTCTGCATTATTACTATTGTGTTCAGCACAAATCCAAAAAACACAGCCCCATATTAGCCACTGGGAAGAAGATTAAGTCTACCCCTGCCAAAAACAGCATAAATATGTTACCCATATTCTGGAATTGTGTTTTTATTTGGTCACTTATGCTGGAACCATGATGCAGTAGGGAATGTCCCTTCATTACCCTGAATATCTATGTTTCTTGAAAAATATAGCTCTATATAAAGAGTATCAACAGAGAGATTATTGGAGACTGATTTAGAGTGATATGGGTAATGGTGATAATATGGTAAATCAATGTAGATTTTTCTTATTGTTTTTAAAGGAAAGTTTCTTATATTTGTTCGTTTGGAGGGGTTTTTTTGTGGTTTTTGTTGTTGTTATACTGCTATTTTTCTGAGGTGTCCTACCATTTGCTGAAAGACAGTCAGGAATCCATGCATTCATGACAGACCATCACCACCAGAAGCGTGAAATGCTGGCAATATCCATGAGCAGTGAGTGGAAATCTTGGAAATCTCTTGATATGACCGCCTAGCATGTTTGATTACCTTCTGCACTCCACAATTAACTTCAGTTTTCTTCTTTTTTTTTTTTTTTTTTCCTTTATCAGTAGGAGTTTATACTAAATTTTTCCCTTTAATAAATGCCCTGAAAGCCCCTGGAGAAAATTCCAGTCTCTTCAGAAGTAGAACCACATGCCTGACATGTTGTAAGGCCAAGAGGCTGTAAAGGAGCTCTCCACAGGCAGGCACCATGGCTGGTGCACAGGCTGCTGCACCAGCTGTCGAGTTAGAGTTCTAACTTCAAATTTTAAGGCACTGTGTCCCTGCTTGCAGCCCTTTTTTCAACACTTCATTTTCTTGGGAGAGATTTTCCAGCTTTCCCAAAATGGTATGATCATTGGACCTTGACAGCTGCTCCTTTAACAGCTGCTATGCCTCTGACCACTGACCTTCTGGCTTCCTGTGCATCTGCTGTTGGTCAAAAAGATCAGTCTAAGCGTGTGGAGAACCTTGCTGAATGTACTTTATCTGACATTAATTAGCTCCTTCCAGTACAACTAATCAAATACACACACATACACAGATCCTCTGTTACTACTAATTTTAATTAACATTTTTATAAGGAATTTCTGTTATTAATTAGTGGAAGAACGTCTCTTGTGAATGCTGCTGTGTGTCTGGCAAAAGAAAGAAAATTGTAAAAAGAGAGAGGGACATTAATGAATAAAATCTAGGTAAACAGTACATCAAGATACCAAATCAAGCTTTATTCAAGTTTACTCCCTGATGAATTTTCCTTTATATACAGAAAAATATCCTTATGATTATGGACTAAATGACTATATACAATCGTAAAAGATATTTATTGGGTGAATACCTATCTGAAGGAAAGCTCTTTTCATAAAAATGGATTTATGAGTCTTGATTCTTCCTGGGTAAGCAGAATAGGTTTTTGTCTGGTTGTCCAATTTTGCTGATATTGGTCAGGCCACCTGAAATCACAGTGGCTAAGCTCAGTGGTCAATGGATTGGAGGGTTCTGGTCGGCAAGACGCTTCTCCAAAATGTTCCCCTTTTCTCAGCTTTCAACTGCTGTCGTCTTCTTTCTTTTGCCATTTGAAAAAAAAAATTTAAAAATAAGCTGGTACATCAGCATGTCTCACTAAGTTTTATATTGAGGAGAACAGGAAAGTGTGATAAGAAGCAAATACTGTCCTTTAGATTTCCTAAATTGCCCTCAACAGTCTGTGACATTTTCTGTGACTATCAATTGCAATGTGCAGTAGCATATCAAAGAGCACATTATGCCTTGAGTAATTTACTTGTGTTTCTGTGCTGTGAAATCTATATTCAGAATATTGTCTTATCCCTTGCAAAAAAGGGGAGAGGATGGGGAAGAAGCCCTGCAAGGAAATATTACTACTTCTACTTGCAGTTCACTAGAGGCTTTCTGTTTGGTTTGGTTTGGTTTTTCAATGGACTAATCTGCCCTTGATCCTAAGACTATACGAATGGATTTCACAAGTCATAATTTGTATACATAACCTACTGTCTATATAAATCTTATTTAATCTTTTATCCAACTTCTTTTTTTCTTAGTTTTAAATCTCTCGGTGTAAATGTAAGGATTTGAGCCTTAATGTAATAGTGTTTGTATGCTTAGCTTGTTTCTTTTTTTTTTTTTAACAATCTTGAAGACTTTCCACTGTGCTTCTGACTGATTCTCATATGAAAAGATTAAATATTCAGAGAAAGATGTAGAAAATTTGGCCATATGTGGGGTTTTTTTTGTTTGTTTGTTTGTTTTTTTCAATGGGATTGATTTTTATTGAGAAATAATCCTTCTGTTTTTCTTCCCTATATATCAGGGCTTACCTCTAATCTTTGAATCCAAAGCCTCTAAAATTGCTTTAGATTTATTTTTTAATTTTCTTTTGTAGATTGGCATGTATTTCTAACATCTGATTCCATATTACTTATACTGTAGTTTTAACCTTAAACTTCTGAGAAAAATGAGTTATATTCAAAGTAATATTTATGCCTAAAAAAAAATTATTGACATTTCTTTCATCCTCTAAATTGATTCCTTTGACCTTTTTTGTAAATTTTGTTACTATTGCTGGGTAAGGTGGAAGGAAGGAGGAGCTGTATTAGGTGAAAAGGTAGATAACCAATATTTTTGTAATTTTTGTTTATTTTGTATTGTATTAATGTGGGAATGAACCTAGTTAAAACCACAGCATTTTAGTGGACGCAAGTTAAGAAGGGATCTCTGAAGGAAGTCCAAGTTTGTGAGCCTAAAATTTATAGCAGCAGACATGGCCATATGTTTGCTGTTGTCTTAGATGCAGCAAGCTGATCTTATTCCGTTGCATTTTCCTTCCTTGATCTACCTCAGCCGAAACAGAAACACTTTGCTTCTCATCCAGAATGGGCATGAACTCACCTGTTCAAACTAAAGAATTTTCTCTTGTTCCCACTTTTGTGGTTTTTTTTGCCTTCTCTCTCATGAAATACATGAGCATCCCTGAATACTGAGCATCAGCCCAGAGCTAGAGTTTACATAACATAATTCTTTACAACTTGTGGGCAGAGCTGCAGCAACATTATACCCCAGTGCTGTCCAGGTGTGCAGTGTCCCTTATGGAGCATGACAACACATTGTCTACGCATCTTTGGCAAGGCTTTTCCAACACAAAGGATTCTATGAAATAGTACTAAACTTCACTAAATGTGCTGCTGCATGTTTTTGATATCTTTTCCTTTAATGTAGCCATTTACAATGATGAGTTTAATCATGTCTGCTTGGTATTTACTGAGAATATCTCCTTTTTTCCTCTGGTTTGTTTTTGGTTTTGGAGTTTTTTGACAGGTTAGTTTAGAGAGATGGTCTCAGTGATGTAAAATACCTCTCAACAGAAAAACTGATTATATCTTGAATGGTTCTAACTTCAAACACAAGGAAGCCTATTAAGAAAAGCGCTGGAGTAAAGGAAGATTTTGAATCTTTAGTTCAGCTTGATCTTAGCAAACTAAAAGCTAGGGGAAAGAAAAAATTACATTATACACTCACAGGATATTATACTGAATAATCTTTGTTACTCAAAGCTTTATGAAGAAGTCATTAAGTTTTGGAGGATTGTGTTTTCCATTATGTCTATATTCTTGTTACATTCATGTCAGTGTTTTTAAAACTTTTTTAAAATTGGTTTTAAAAACTTTTTTTATAAGTATTTTTTTATAATTCTTTCTGTCTAGGAGAGATGATAATATAATCAATAACATGATCAATATGCTGTGCTTCCTTTGTAAGAAGGAAGCGACAATCGGCTTGTCTAGTTAAAGCCAGTGGCCAGGGTTAGCCAACATCAATTTCTTACTTGTTTTTATTAGTGATTTCTCTGATAATTAGAGGTAGGAGAGGAAAAAAGTTGAAAAGTCTTTTTCCACGTCTTTAAAAAATGGGTCTTTATGGGTCTTTGCACTAGGATTTTCTCCATTAGGTCAAATCAATTCTTATATTTATAAAAAAAAATATATGTTAATTTTGATTTTCTTCACAGATAATTTCTCATATGTAAACAGCCTCTGCAATTTCTTCCCAGGATTTCCTTACCTATCTTTAGTGATATGCCAGGGAGAGCTAAAAGTGCTTCCTTTGAAAACATGGGATCAATAGGTGGTTCAAAGCTGATTAGGTGAATCTACCAGCCTGATAAGTTCCTTTATGAAATTTGGCTTACAGAAAAATATAGAAGGGCTAATGATGGGGAAGATATGTTACTGGCTTTGGCTGCAAACAAGTGATAGGAGCCTCTTGTGTAGTTTTCATGCTTTCTTAGCAGTTTGTTACCTGCAATTTGGCAAATAGCTTCTATCCTCTCTAGCTCTTCTTGCCAGCCCTTCTTCTGGCTCGTGTAGTCAAACCTGTGAGCCCAGATGGGGCTGCTCTCTCTCCTCTCTAATCGTTCTGCTTTGAAACCATCTGTCTAATGAATAATGGTAGTGCTTTTGTACCATGAGGAAAATAAGTGTGAAGCAGTTAACTTGCTATCCTTGGATGCTGTCCAATAACTTCCTCAAAATAGGTCTAGTCCTTGCTGAATGGATTTTTCTCACCTTGTCACACGTGTTATTACTGTTGTGTTACTTAGGTTGAACAGATGTTGTGTCTACATGGTTGTATCATGTGCAGCTTTCACACTTGCTCACTGTCTTTCAGATCACTAAATTAATATATCTTCTATTCAGCTTTCTAATGTTTGTCACTCCGCAAAAGGTATTTTTCTTTAGCTAGTGATAATTAGATACCTGGTTAATGTGCTCTGTGTATTTACTTGTTATTAGAGCTTAATCCCAAAGTGACAATACTGTCTCTGCTGTTAACAGGATGAAATCTCCATACATATTCTACTTCATTAGTTTTCCTAATCATTTTAAAGCAATTGCTCTGAAGATTTCTGGGTGCGATTTCCAAAAAATGCCTGATTCTCGCCATTTCCTGACTTTAGTCTCCCTTTCCAAGGTGACAATTTTAACTTTCTTTTGCAGTCTTAAGCATGGCTGAACTGTACACTCTGTATCCAGTTTACACTGTGGGATGCTATCTGGAAAGTTTCCAGTTTTCTTGGTCAACCACAGGGTATGTGTGTGCCAGAGCAGTGAGAATGAATGTGCTGCTGGTCCCCAGAGACACTGTAGCACCATCTGTGAAGAAATGTTATGGAAGAGGCTAATTTAAGTTCTGCTTTGGTTGGATAGACAAGAAAAAGTACCTGTCAATATTTGTAAAGGTAAAGAAGATCAAAGACATAGAGCAGACTTCTGGAAATTCTTTAGAAGCAAAGGTAAGAATTAGGATTAGTTTCTAGTTAGAGAAAGTACACAAGGAGCTCTGGAAATTTAATATAATGTAGCTTTACTGCTAACCAGCATGTGAATACAGGAGAGCACAATCACAAAATCATTATGGTTGGAAAAGACCGTCTAATCTAAGTCCAGTTTTTAACCAATCACCACCTTATCAGCTAGAGCATATCACTGAATGCCACATCCACTGGTTTCTTGAACACCCCCAGAGATTGTGTCTCCACCACCTCCCTGGGCATCTATTCCAAAGTTTTACAATCCTTTCCACCTTTATTTACTTCTGCAATTATCACTTTGAAATGTTTATCTATCTATCTATCCAGTAGTAAATGTGCCAAGACACTGATGTTTTGTATTAGCTAAGTTTTTCCAGAGTTCAGAAAACAACTTCGAGACATTTCAGCTAAATATTAGGATTATTGAGTAGGCTTCAGAAAGGAAGATTTATATGGATATTATCTAGATTAATTTCTTATTTTTGTAAAATTTAAACTTTAAATACATAATACTGTACATCACTGGGCTGCTAATAGGCTTTTTTCTTTCAAAACTTGATTCCAATTTATTTTTAGCTACATGCAGTTGTTGTGGCTGAATGCTCTTCTGCATCTAAACAGAATTTTTCTAAAAATGCTAGAGAGTAAAATTTCAAATAAATGCAATTTAAATTGTACAAAAGTATTAAAATGAAAATAAAAAAGTTAAAGTTGAAAATATGCCACCTGGCAATTCTATTCAAAATTTACTGCATGGATTTTCAGGTTTACAGACCTGCTACTCAGGTTTTCAGACCTTAAAGAACCAATAAGCACTTACTCCTCAGAGTCCCTTATATGTGAAAGTTTTCAGAACATTCATTAATTTGCTCTCTAAATCATGTCTGTTATCTTTCTGCAAACGGAGCCTTGTGGTAAGATGTTTAGCCTTTCTTTATTGCTAGGAGCGCATGTTCAATTTTGTGATAAAATGTACTAATATGAAGTGATGATTTTTGGAACTTTGGAAAAAAGTGCTTAGTTTGGAAGTATCTTTTGTTATAAAATGCTGTGAAGATGCATGCATGGCATGTTCTCAAGAGCCTTTTGAAAATAGAGTTTATCAAAAGAATGTTACTCCATACAGGGAATGCTTTGTGTGAGCGTCTTTTCATTATGAAGCTTATGAAAGTCTTATCAGCTGCTGTAAATGAAGTGTTGTTTTCTTTGTTTGTTTTTAGTGATCAATACCAAATAGATCAAGCATTCCTGTACGAAAACTTCAGTGGTGTTTATAGTGAAAACAAGGCATTTTTCTACCCAAAGCACCTCAAGATTAACTAACTGATATGTCATTACATGGGTGATGATTATCTGAAAGGTCTTCTTCCTCCTTTCATATTTTAACTAAATACTGTGAGAGAGACATGCAAGCAGAATTGTCTTATTAAAATATGAATTTTGCATTTATGAAAAACATAATAATTTTTAAACCTTTCATCATGAGTGTTAGATTACTTGAAAGTCTTGTATTCATGGGTCGAACATCATCCATCCAAAAGGAACAATTAATGTGAAGAGAGCCACAATTATGGTTAATGAATTCAACAGACATTTTCTCTAAATGCTTTTAAGGTGTTAAACAAGGTTCATCAAACCAAAAACTTGATAGAAAGCAAAAATTGATAATTTAAGGTAGGTGTAAATTAACCATCAAAGTGATTTTAATTTTTTTATTAATATACTGTGTTAAGTAAAAAGGCATATTAATATTTTTCTTTATCCAAGAATCAAATTTGTATCTGTCCCTGGTACTGTCGGGGAAAAAAAAAATTAATAGATTTTTGCTATAGCAACACTTTCTCTTCACTTCACACTTCATTTTAAGCCAACACAGAATCTTCAGTGTTTCATCTAAGAGGAAACTGCACAGGACAGGGAGATGATAAAAGTAGCAAAGCCCTATCTACACTGTATTGGGAATTTTCAGATAGGTTTTCCTAGGCAGATTTTATGTTTTCAAGTTGGACCACTGAGCATTAGAGCATTTTAGTTTTGAGTTTGTAGTGTATAAGATAGGAAATATTAGAATTTATTTGACGTCAATTATTCCTTTGTCTGATATAGATATACACTTTTTGGATGAAAGAATGAAGCAAAAAAAGATTGTATTGCAAGCCATGAAATTTACTGAAAAGTTGATATACCCAGGAAAGTGTCGCTTATGACAGGTTTCTTTGCCTGAAAGTTGGAGTTCCTCTGTATGACCTATTTTCCTCAAATATTTTTCAATTCGAGATCCAAAAAACCTAATTGCCAAGGCTACTTTAAACATTCTCTTCATACTGGGAATAAACTGATGTTCAACCAAAGTCTGGAATGCTTTCTCACAATGCACCTTATAATGCTCTTCTGCTTTACATAGTTGGTTTATTTAATTTTTTTTTTTTCAGTGCTACAATAAATATTTTGGTTTTGTAAGCCAGGATAGCAGAAGAGGTAGGAAATATGCAAGATTCACTCCCTAAATCACACTCTGAGATTATTCAAATAATGATGAACAACCATTTACCTGCTTGTCTTGCTATGAAGTTCAAGGTCAAGATATGCTGATATTACAGTTACTAGGGAACCTGGAGAACTGGAAAATCATGGGCAATTAATGACTTTGAGAACATTAAAGAATTGCAGATATTGCTGGAAATTCTTCCAACAGAAGCTCTTACAAGGATACTTAGAGTGACAATGTAGTATATCATTTTTAGTAAAAGAACATTCCGTCCTGGCTGCCTCAGGAAGCCATGAGAAAATGCTGAAGAGAAACATGCTGATGAGACATCAAATCTTTATTCTGTAAATCTAGTTCATTTTCAACTCCAAAACATTTGAGTGTCAAGTAACAAACTTATCCCTAAATTTGTTTCCAGTGTTCCTATGGTTACAGAAAGTTTGTTATGGTTTCTCCAGAGGACAATTTCAAAGTAAAATTTTGACCACAGATTTGCTGCTCTGCAGGTGAGTACTGCTATTCTGAGCTAAATTACAAATTTAGCAAATATTCTGTGCTAAATTACAAGTGACAGATAAAGCAACTTGCTCTATATGAAACTTGTGCTGTTCAGAAAAAGCAACATTTTGGCAAGGTGATTGTTCTTTCTGTGATATGGTTTTGGAGAAGAAGGTAGGGTTTGTCAGTATGGTATTGTCAATATGTCTGCTTGAACTCTGTGATTCCTGTTGGCTGTTCACTCAGTAAAATGTTTGTCATAATCAAGAACAGGATATCTTCCAGCAACTATACACAAAATATAATTTTGCAACATATTAAAATAAGATTATTTTCAAATTTTGTCTTTGATATATATATATATATATATGTATGTATATGTATATAAATATATATACTATTAAAATAAGTTGGATATCTTTAACTTGTGCAAAAGGGTTGCTTATATTCTTAGAGGTTCATTGGTAGATTTAAAGTTTTATTTTCTTTCTTTCATTACTTTCTCTCATTTGCAATGGATAAAGGAAAAAAGTAAAGAAAGTGGAAAAGTTAAAAGGAATCGGACAAGAAAAAGGAAAAATTTAATCCCTCAGACATTCACTTAACTGTTCGCTAATCAACAATATGCAAAGATTAATACTGACATTGTTTATTTCAGAAATATGTAGCATTTTGAAACAGGGTATATGCTGTATCCCAGTGAAACTGTGAAACTGGGCTGATGGACAGTTTAAACCTCTGTATTTACAACTTCCTGACTTTTGGATCCATTTGTCCATTTTAAGCTCAGCAACGAATCCTGTGCTCATGCTCAGTTTTGAGAAGTACTGCCGTGCTTGAGAGATCTTGTGTAACTGAGGCTGGGTATGAGATGAAAATTGGATTTTTACCACTCTTACCATACACAGTTTACCAATAAAAAAAATCTTTTTTTTTTTTTTTTCAACATAGAAAGAGCAGGAGAATTCATCTAGTCTTTAGTAAGTAAAACTAGTGGTTTCCTAGAAAGCAACCTTCATGACCAATGAAGCTGGCAAGACATTTTGCTATGCAGCTCTTAGACAACGCTGACTCACAGAGACTAAAACTTATTACAAAACTCCTTGGTTTTGAGAAATCCTTGATTTAGAACAAATACATCTTCTAGAAAAACTTTAAAGGTTTCATATTTTTGCTTTGAAAATAGAAAATCATGCTAGTAATTCCTTCATAATAAAAATTTATAAAATTTGAAATTAAACATGAAAACAGTGGAAGAAGAATTATTGAATTTAATTGAAATTCAAACTTTGGTTTAAAAATAAGTTTGGCCTATTGCAGAATGAGGGTTTTTAAGCTCCAGACTTTTTCAGTTTTCTGGAGAAAAGTTTTCTTCTCTAACCCCTCTGTACCATCCTCTATACCTATATTTTTTATTATTTTTATTGTTTTTTAAATTTAAAAGTATACTGGGTTTCCAAGTTTGCTCTAGGAGTGTATTTTTGTATGACAAATACCTTAAAGGAACTCATGAGGGAGAAACCCACCGACAACAGGACAGTCCCATTTCTGAGTCTCCAAGTTCACACTCTGTTGAATTGCATGGGATTTTCCTCATCTTTTGCCTTTTTGTTAACTAGACCAGACTAACTTAGCTAAATGGTAAACTTTTACTGAGATGTTGACTTTGCTAAAGACTTGAAAATCAGAAATTAGTGGAACTCCAAGAGGACTATCAACTCTACCTGCAACTGCTATAGGCAATGCCCTAATTCCACACTCTTAAGGAACCATCTGTTTTTCTAATTTTTCCATGGCTTTTTTGTTTGTTTTATTTACATTTGCTGTTTGCATTCTCATTTCTTCTAAGAAAATGTTCTTCATCCATAAATTCCCTGGAAAAATCCTGACTAAAAAGAAATCAGTGGCACAGCTTTGACTAATGCCACACCTGAACTTTTCCATGATTTCTTGAAATTTCCTAGCACTTTTAGGTTCAGCCTATCATACACTACGTACACTTTTGTCTATCAGAATGACTGTTTCTCATGCTGTCTATTTCAGAATGATCATCTCATGTTTGGGCTTGGATTCCAGTCTTGGGGTAATTTACTGTGTAATAGAAAGCATTCCATCTTTATTAATAGTTTTTCAAAATATACACAGATTTTTATTTTTCAGCCACTGAAATACTGTCTATAACTTTATGAAAAATCAAATATATGCAAGTATTTCTTTAACATTATTCTGAAATTTTACTGATAATATCTTCACCTATGTCTGACTTTGAGAACTCCAGGAAGTCCATATGGCCAAAGGAGTTTGTTTTTTTTTTCTCTCAGCAGTGTTGCAGTCCTTTCTCTGCACAAAAGCTGTGGTACTGAGGAGTTGCATTGGGGTGAGTAGGGCTGTGCAGCTACTAAGCTTAAGTGTATCTCCTGGCCTAAGTACATGAAACTCCATCAGACCATCAGGCTATTTATATCAAACCATCATGTGCATATATTACATGTGCACCCAGCCTTTACTAGACACTTTTAATTCAACTGCATCATCTTGTCCTATAAAGTATGAAGTGGTGTAGGTCATTCTACACCCTGAAGAGGAAGGAGAATGACTGAATGATAGCAGCAGCAGTGCCTGTCCTTCACATTTCTGCCACTCTGCAGAAGTGGACTGCTGACCACAGCACCTGAGTCATGAGGACCTGCTGTCTGCAGAGCATTGCATTTTGTTGGATCTTAGACTGTCTCAATGTATGAGATGTCTAAGTGGTTATTAGGGCCAGTGGTGGAGTCCATCACACCAAAGTTCCTTCCTTCATTGTTCTTTTGGAGGTCTCATGAAGAGTGGCTAAAGGAGCTGGAGTTTTATAGTCTGGAGAGAAGGAAGCTCAGGGAAGGCCTAATCATCATTTATAACCACATAAAGGGAGGCTATAGCAAGATATGGGGCCTGGTCTCTTCTCCTAGGTAACAAGTGATAGGCCAGGGGGAGATAATTTGGATATTAGGGAAAACTCCAGAGCAAAAAGATTGGCCAGGCATTGGAGCAAGCTGCTCAGAGTAGACTCATCGTGCCTGGAAGTGTTTAAAAAACATGTGGATTTAGCACTTAGCGACATGGTTTAGTGGTGAATACAGCAGTGTTAGATTAATGGGTATACTGAATGGTCTTCGAGATCTTTTCCAACCTAAACAATACTATGATTCTAAGAGGATCTCTGTTCTTTCCTCTTAAAGCAGCCACAGGAGGTTTAACTCTAGCTTGGGATACTGGTAGGAAGAGAAAGGGCACATTGATGAAGAGAAGGTTATTTGTATAAAATCTTTGGCTTTGAATCAACTTTAACTTTTATACCTAGAACTCTGTTTATGGATCTTGGCTATATTCAGGATCACAAAGCTGAAAGCAAAGCTGGTTTATTTAGCCTTAGGGGCTTTTGTGCCCTCATACTACTTAAAAGCCAGTCACGATTTGGCCCATAAATTGCTCAGTGCTTTGCACTTTCAGAGGAATGATTAAGAGCACTCTGTCTACGAATAGGCTATTTGTACTTCACAGTCATCAGCAAAACACTCCTAATAGATGCTGTAGTGTTTGGCTTTGACTTGCCCTTTGCAAAGTTCACACGGTCTGCCATCTGAATCATAGACAGCAGATGCACTGAGGTCTGATCTCGCTGCTATTTGCCAAAACTGAAAAGATATTAAACATAGGGCAAAAACACAGACATACCTGACAGTGCTAAGAGTAGGCCATGTCGTTTAGATTTTATTCTCAAGTATTATCTTTTTGTACATGACATTTGAGGATGAGTTATTATATGGCTGTTTTTAAGAAAAAAGCGGATCAAGCAATGAGTGTTCATGAGCCTCTTCTGTACCTTCTATCACATGCTTTTTGTCAAACTGATAAATATCAAATATTGATTTGTCTTGTTTTCTTGGCACACCTCTTGAATTTGTCAAGTTTAATGGATCTTCCCCATGATGCTTTATTTATCATGGAATCCATAGTAATTTTCAAGTGAAATGACAGCTCTTATGATTGAATGGGAACTTCAGAATTAGTCTGGATGAAATTTGCCTGCTATTGATTGAAGTCAGGTATCTCTATAATTATGGAAGTGATCTATCATCCATTTTTTTGGAAATAATGTGTCAATAGTAATATCAAAGAATAGTCTGCTCATCCTGTGTATTAGAAAGGTTTTATAACTCAGCACTGGGGATTGACTTTATACAACTTGATATTGGTGCATGTTGCCACTTACTTCTTTGATACTGGCACCTCTTGGCACAAGATTAATAAATACTTTTAAGGAAATTACAGGAAAGGATATTGTACTGTATTGTATTCAATGGAAGTCCTCCAGAAGCAAAAGACTGCATTTGGCACTGCTTAGCAGCCAGACCACACCTTTCATGGTCAGACTAAATAAGCTGGAGGAGCTCCTTCACATACTAAGAAGTAAACTCCAGTCATTCTTAGCTTATCATTTCCAATATCAGGGGTCAAATATTTTTCTAAAGATTACTTTTTAAAATGAAAGTATCTTTTTCTGATAACTGTCTTTTAAAAGGTACACTTAACAAACTACAATATCAAGGTAAATACTTTAAGCATACTTATCTAATGTAATTCTGAGATCAGCCAAAATGGTATTTTTGGGAAGGCTTGCAAGAAGGGATCTATTTCTTGTATGGAAATGTTTTGTTTAGGAGTGCATACCCCTCAGGCTGTTTGTGTGTGTTTGTGAATGTGAGTGTGAGTGGTTTCATTCCTTTTTGCAGTTTTTTTTTTGGGAATACTTAGTATAACTTATTATGTTTGAATTTTTGACGTCTGTATTTGTAGAAGTTTTCTTTTTAGAGGGAGCACTATTATTACTTTAAATAGATACCGAAAGTACACAGTGAAGTTATATAATGTCTAAGTTAATGCTTATTTTGTATTTCTCATAGATATTGATATTCTGAAATAGTCAACCTTAATGCAACGCAGATAAGCTCAGAAAAGCTTGCTC